GGTTACATTTTCTTAGTGGTTGTTGCTGCTTTGGTATTATTCTAAAAGCTAGCACTGAGAAGTAGGGTTTAAGATATGTTCAATTGCTGGTGTTTGTTTAGCTTTTAGCCTTAATGAACTGGTATTTGTATCCCTTCAGCACAACCCTAAAGTCTATTTTAGGAGCCTCCCAATGCATTTATTGTAGCAACAATAAAAAATTATTCTTGTAGAAGAAATGCCTAGTCAAATGGTTGCCTAATAGGAACTTGGAGCATTCAGGCTGAAAGAAATGCCTGACTGATAATAGCATTCAAACTTCCTCAGCCATAAACTCTCCAGAGGTTGAGACATGGAGAATGGACTCATGAATTCCCTGATCTTTGATGAGGGTATATTTTGGTATGGAAGATGAGCAGTTATAAAAGCTGTGAGAAGGTGTCTCCCCCTGGGATGTCACTTGATCCACAGAAAGCAGACTATTATCAGTGCTAAAGCTGCTGATCAAAGTCTTTACTGAGAATGTGACCTGATTTCAGCTGCCAGTGGACAGCTGTTGAACACCATACAAATGCTAGTCCAACACTGTTGAAAGCTACTACTTTTACTGAGGAACAACATGATTTGAGCTAGGAGTAAGCTCAAACAGCAAAAAGAGTAGATTTTCCTGTACTCATGTAGTGACTGAAACTGGGGCAGACCTCCACCGTAGGTAACATTATAAATAATTTGCATTGACTTTAAAGTCTTTGGATAACAAAGACTTCCTCTTTCAGAATTTTCTTTCAAAAATTCTGAGTGAGGGCAGCACTATGTGAGTGATAAGCTTGTTTCAGTTGTCCTCAGTTCAGAGATTTAACAAGGGAAATGAAAGATTAAGGGACTGTACCTAAATTCACTGTAGGAAAGACTAATTTTCTACTGTTTGATTGTAACATGGTAATGCAAAGTCTGTGGTTTACCCTCCCTTCATTGGAACAGTCATGTATTCTTAAAGTTCTTACATCTGAATCTGCTTTGGATGGTATAGGGAAGTCTGACATTTGAGCATCAGTCAGTTCTGTAAGACTTTAGGTGCTGATCCTCTGATCATTTGAGATCGACAGGGCATGTGCAATTCTTTCCGGAAATTCCTAGTACTTAAAATACTTAAGAGGCAACAAGCCTGAGGCAAGGAATATTATGTGGGATAAGACCAGCTTCTGCTGCCTAGAAGCTTTTCTTAACTCGTGTTGAAGCCATACTGGAACTTAAATAGGACAGCCTCACTCATTGTAGTTATTTCAGGAAACCCATTATATTGTTTTAAAAAGGTGTTACATTTTAATTAAATTTAGTAGTTAAAAGGCATCATTCCCCCTACCCATGTACATATATTGCCTTAGGTAGTGGTAAAAAGATTAACATATTTCATTTAAGTGTCACTTAACCAAGAAAACCAACCTCAGAATATCAGGGCTATAGATGTGTTCTATTTTTCTTGTCTTCTGTATCTGCTAATATCTTCTCTGTTTCTCTACTCCCTTAGGGTGTGAACATTCAAAATTGAAGTATTTTTCTAATCATACTGAGACAAAAATCCTAAACCTAAACTAGACTGTAGAAAGTTTCTTACTAGAACAGGAGTTTCTTTCCTTGGAGTTTCTTGTTTTAGGTCTTGCCAGGTCCTATGAGAAATTGTGTCACAACTGAAACAGGTGTCTGTAACATGTAGAGAGCAAGAGATTGTGCAGGTGGCCATGCTCGGGATGTAATCACAAGGCTTTTATCCAGCTGAAGGAGATTCATACACGAAGACTGCACCGGGTAGCTTATACTCTACATTTCATAGGCACTACCATCCTGACAAACAGATCTTTGTCATGGTTCAGTGACATCTGGCATGTTCTTGTCACTATGATTACATTTCCCTACCATGCTATCAGAAATGCCTCTGAACAAAGTCATCAGTGACAGGCTGAAATATATTCTAAACACACACAGTACTTTTAAAAAAAAACAACCCAAATGTCTGGAGATGCTTGTGCCTAGGCAAAGATTTCCTTTGAGTGGAACTTTGGAAGTAAAGTAAAAAAAAAAAAAATTGTTAAGGCAAATTTTGGGGCGAGAAAAGATATATTGCCATCAAGGTGTAATTATTCTGAGACTACAGCATTAATTTTTCATCCACTGTTAAAAATTCTGTGATCTGAAATCACTTTTTTTTTTTTTGTAGAAATGATTTTGTAACTTTTGGGTTAAAAATAATTTATTGAAAACAAGGATTGAGTCATTCCAATGCTAAGAAACATTTCCCAATCAGACTGAAAACATCATTATAAGAGGCATGAAGTGCTCCTATTCCTTTCCTGGGGCTAGTTTTCCAAACTCTGGCAAATTCGGTGTGTGCATTAACTCTCTTGCTGCTGGTAATTGTGCAGCTGATGCTCTAACTATGCAGTCCAAAGTTTTTCAAGATTTCCTTGATGCAACAGGGCTCCAGGGACAGCTCCAGTTTCATATTTGTATTGGTAGAATTATGGTAAATAAAGATGTGGCAGGAGGCAATAGAAAGAACATCAGCTGCTTGGCTGGTCTTATTAATTGTATTTCAGCAATTAAAAGGCTATGTAAAAAAAAAATCAGGTGAAGTTCTGGTCTAGACCATCTAATTTTGCACCACAGGAGGGTATGAGATCTCCCTTCTGAACCTCTTTTTTTCCCCCCCCCTTTTTTTTTTAAGGTTTTGGACTATGTATATCTTCCCTGTGCTAATTTAAAATGTGAAATAAGGAGAGGCAAGCATCAAATATTGTATTTTTTTTTGTCTTTCTAAAAAGAGCTTAAAAAAGGCAAAAGTTATCTCAGTTCTCAATAATAGTATTCAGTTTTGTTTCTATTCTCACCATAGCTAAGAAGATTCTTCCTCTTCATGGTCAACAAACTTCCCTCTTCTGAAAGGGTTCTTCCTCACACCCTCTCCTCCCTGAGCTTAACAAAACCAAAGAACACTTTCTTCCTTAAAGGCAATTCCCTTTTCCTTCTCTAGCTTTTCCACCTTTTTGATTGCATAGGATTGTACATTTTGGTCTCCATCCTTTCTGTTTTCTGTGTCTGTAGCTTTATTTCCACTTTAGGCATACTTCAAAAGTTTTGACAAAAGAACAGTGTTAGGCAGAAGTGCAATCCCTCACATCCTCCCTCCTCTTTAATATGATGGAGGTACTCACTAATAGCAGCTGTACCCCTAAACCAGAAAAAAGGTCTGCTGGTGAAACATCCTCTTTTCAGGAGTCTGTACTGCCAAGAAACCCCCAGCTAAGTGCTGCAAAGTGTGTATACAATGCCGAATCCTTTTTTCTTTAGACAAAAATCCTTTTTCTTTAGATCTTTCTTTAGGTCTCTCTTTCAAAAAATCAAGGAACTAATTTTCTCCTTTTTGCTTTCATTTTTTTCTACATGGGTTTATTCTTTCACTGTGAAATTGCAATTTAATTTGCAATTTTATTTTTTTTTTTAATTAAGAAGGGTATGGAAGCATTACATGGCATGTACAGTGCAGTGTTTTCAATTGGTCCATTTCAGATTTTGAGATTAGAACCACAAATAATGATCAAGCATTTTAATGTGACTCCATGTAAAAGACTGACTGTTACAGAAATGTCCAGGTACCAATAACACCATCACCAAAGGCATATCATCTGCCACCACACTCCACTTACAATCCTGTATTAAAAGTGCCATTTCTGCTTCTCCTGAAGAAACACAGTGAAGGACAAGACTAGCTCTTAGCAATCTGTTCTAGTGGAAGGTGTCCCTGCCCATGGCAGGGGGAATGGAACTGGATAACCTTTAAGATTCCTTCCAACCCAAACCATTCTATGGTTCTATGATAAACAAATAGGCGCACGGAGTTCTACCAACAGTTTTGGCAAAACTGGTATCTGGTAGTGTGTATTTGGTAGTATCTGGCACTCCACGATTCCCCAAAACTTTTTTTGGGGGAGGGTGTATTTCTACCACTATTTGAAAATGTTCTACATGACACAGGTAATGCCTGCACTGGGGCATGCGACTGAGGCACGAATGCTGCCCATCTGGTGAGATGAAGCAACAGACAGGTGCAGCTCCAGGCCCGGGGAAGGCAACCCAGGGAATCCTGTGGGATCACCTTTGGTAATGTGTAACCCAACCAGCAGCACTGGCTGTGCTGCTGCGTGCATAGGAGTATCATAGGTGTCACGGTTTATCACCAATATACCTGTAAAAGATATTGTGGCTAATTCAAACCAGGCAGTGACCCGTAGATTTGATGTTGTTTAAAACCGGCACATTTTTCTGTTGTGTTTTGTACTGTCTCCTCAGCCTGCTTTTAGAAGGAACTTTCAAGCATACTTCTTAAATTATATTTTACATTTATTACCAGGCAGAAGCATAAAGCTGAGACATTTTCAAATAAAACGTTTGCATTTAAATTAAAGCTGCTGCTGCTGCTGCGTGTATTCTTGCCCTTTCCCCATACTGGGCCCAGCACTCCCTGGCCTCAACTGGGAGGGAGCTGAGATACAACCTCAACCAGTATCCCCTCTGGACTTGTTCCAGCATCTGTCCTCCCTGCCCCCTTCCCAGTATTTGCTCTGGATTGGCCCCAGTACCCACCCCAGCCTGAACTGCTCCCAGTATCCATCCTAAACAGGTCCAGGCACCCACCCTGGTCTGAACTGGTTACAGTATCCTCTCTTGGCCTCAACTGATCCCAGCATGCTCTCCTTGACCTCCTCCCGGGGTTCCTCCTGACCCGGCCACTATCCATCCTGGCCCGCTCCCGGGATCTTCCCTTGGCCCGGGGGAGCCGGGCCGGGCCCGGGGGCGTGGCCTCAGTCCGTGGGCGTGGCCTGCAGCCGGGAGAGCGGAGCGATTCTGGCTTCCCATTGGCCGAGGCGAGCGGCTGCCCGCCAATGGCCGCCGGCCTGGGGGCGCGGCTGTGACAGTGCCGGAAGTGACGAATGCTGTGGGGGGCGAGGTGGGTGCGAGCTCCCGGATGGTCTGAGGCTGCGCCGGGGGTGGAAGATGTGGATTGAGCCATAGAATAAAACAATAGCGCTTAAATAGCAAAATAATAACCCGGCTCGTCCGCCTGAGGCGTGGCCCCCGCTCCCCCCAGGTCGCTGTAAAGCACCGTGTGAGCAAGAGTTGGTTTTATTTTTGTTTTTATTTTTTAATTTTTCTTTCCCGGCCGTGCAGGATGAACGTCGCGCCTGAGGAAGTTAAGGCAGAAAATGGCAAAGCGGAGCCTGGGGAAAAACATTTTTACTGCGAAGTGAGTGTGTGTCTTCGGTGGGTTTTCAGGCGGGGCAGGCAGTGGAAGGCGTGCGGGGACTGGGGAGCTGAGCCAGGCGTGCCGGGCAGACCTGGGAGCGAGGGGGGCTGTAATGTGGGGAGTGATGTCCCTGGAAGAGCTGCTGCTCTCCGGATTCGGTGAATTCAGGTTGTTCTTGAGCAGTCACGGGTGCGGTGAATGGTTCTTAATTGCAGCCTTTCCAGTCTCCGCTGAGTATTTCTGATCGGCGGTCGCAAAGGCTCATTTATCTCTAAAAGCTGTAACTCCGTGTCAGAAGGCGTTACATTTGCCATTCCTGTAGTGGTTTTGTAGCACTGAATGTTTTTCTGGCTTATTCAAGTTCCTGCGACAGCGTATCTTTATATATAACAAGACAGTATGTAAAGGAAACAGACAATATTAGCATGCACTAGTCGTTGCTTTTTTAAAAGCTAACTTTTAAGAAATATTTGTACGTCTGTATTGGCTTCTGTTAATTATTGCAATGGTATCTGCGTGTCTGTGGATCTTGATGAAATGCATGTGTCTTCCTCCATTGTTTTTCTGATCCCTTTAACGTAGGTTTGAATGAACAATGAACGGAGTTGCAGTTATTCTAGAGCGTAATTTTGCTTCTGTTCCTTTCTAGTCACTGCACGATCGTCCCTTTTGCTGACTTTCCAGCTTGGAAAACTTTAGAAAACTAAGAATTCAGAAAGTGCTGGTAGCACAGAAGGGGGCGACTCTTAAAAACTTCTTACCACCTGATTTATTTAAACATGTGTTTAAGTATTGTTTAAACAGGTTTGCATACTATTTCTGGACATTTTAGTGGTAAGCTGTTCTCCTAAAAGTCATGCAAACTGTACTGTTTGAGCCAAAGAGGACCTTGAGAATTACACAATTACACTGTAGGAACAGATGTTTTTCACATTTATGATTCACCAGCGGCAGAATATTTGTAGCATAACTGAAGATGTGCCTTCAATTTTTCTCTTTCAGGTTTGTAAAATTTCCTGTATGTGTGCTATAAGTCTTCAGTCACACTATCGTGGTTCAAAGCATAGAAAGGTAAACTTTTTCCATATTAAATGTATATGCAAATTTAATCATAAATCCGGGACTCTTCCAAATTCACTACTTGATTTCACACGGCTTCAAGTGCTTTTCTGACTTATTGGTAGATTTGTAACAATAATTATTCGAAATATCCCAAGAAAAAGATGAGGTGGGAATGTCACAACTCTACTTTGTGCACCACAACTTGAAACATCAGCTGTACCTAAAAGTGAATGTGTGTGAATTGTGAAATTAACATTTGAATTACACAGGGGCCACAGGTGGTGAAAGAATTCAGCTTTCTGTTTTTGAACACAGTTGGTAAAAGTACTGTTCTGTCTTCCAGGTCTACATAACTCACCTGTACTTTGAATAAAATGAGCTTTACTTCGATAGTAACTCCAGTTCTGATTTCCCGAAGGAGTTATGTAGACTTAACTATCAAGTCTGACACTTGATAGTTCAGTTTGAAGCATCTTAATAGCAGCTCCCTATTTTAAGCACAAAACAAGCAAAGACATTAAATGATTAGGCACCGTTCTGTGAGGGTATATTTAGAGATGAGGCTTTTACAAATGCTGTGTGACTGATCCTTTGGCTGTTGCTTGGCTGATGATTGTTTACAATTCCACCACATCCTCAGTCTGTAAAGGTGAGACATAACTCAGTTGTCTGTACTCCTTTGGTGCCATCAGATTGTATTGTTGTGGCACTGAAGAGCCTGCTCTGATGTTTTCTTAATGACATTTTATTCTTCCTGGAACATTAGAGACAACAGCAAGGCTGCCTTTCTCAAGTGTTGGTGTGCCCTCTTCTTTTTTTTTTTTTTTTTTGGAAATGAGGGGCATCTCCCCACCTCTTTGCTATTGAGACATTAATAGTATTGTGTTCCCTGTTTGCTGATCACTTTAATAGCATTGATTCTTATTTGAGTCAGTGGCTCTACTTTCTCCACCCCCCTTTTTTCCCCACACAGGATTGAGTTTTCTTGTTCCCTGTTGATCGAGTAGAAGTGTACAGTTGTATTTTTCATGTCCTGCCAAATGTTCCTGCTGATGCAAAGAATTGCTTTGCATTTGTGGTTGTTTCTTTTTTTGTTTTTTAGCTAACTTTCTTAGCAATCTAAGTATTGCTGGTTTTCCCTTAAAAAGTAGGAAACCCAGCATATATTTTATTAAAAAATCTACATATAGTTTTCCTTCTGTTTCATGTTTGGATGTACGCTGGGACAAATTTAAATTTTTTTTGTCTTGGCAGATAAATCTGTCAAAGTTGCTTGTGTTAGTGGAGTCTTTGAGCTGATAGCAAGCAAGAGTAGGACAGGTTGAAAACAGGATTTTTGTTAGATGTGAAATCTGGTGTGTGGAGTTGTGGTCAGTCACACAGATGCATTGCTGTAGGAATAACTCTCCAAGCTCACATTATCATTCTTTGCAGTAATCTTCTGTTTCTTTCTTTAAATTGTGAAATCTGTTGTGGGCTTTGGTGGAAAAAGATGAGGACTCATAGACTGATTTCAGGGTTTTGTACCACTAGGTTTGGAATAACTATAAAAGTCCTGAGCCTGTGTTTATTTTTAATGCAGGGTAGATGTAGATAGTGAATAGCTTTTAGTTGTTCCTTACTGCAGGAGTTCCCGTTCAAAATAATACCAAAGGATGTCCTGACAACATAACAAAATGGAGAGAAGGGAGTAGTTCTTTTCCTAAACCACAGTACTAGCCTGACCATCTATTAGCCATTTTTTATGACTTCAGTCAGATTGCCTTTTTCCTAACAGTTGCCCATTTGTTTTTAAAATGGCATTGTTAAAGATACTCTGTGCTTGTCTGCCACTAGAAGTTATTTCAAAAATGCAGGAAGAAGTCCTTCATCAGAAGGACAGTTATTAAGAGAACTTGAAGAAACAAATGTAAACACATGCTACATATATAAAATTATTCTCATTTCATTGGCCTGTTTCCTATAGCTATTCAAAGTAAAATGTTTTGGTTTTTTTTTTTATAGCTGCAGTAGTAAAGCTTGGCTATCTGACAGATTTGTAAGAATACTTCAGTTGAATTTCAGTGTACATGGCTATTATATCTCTTTTTTTTTCTGTTTTTCCACCTGAGTCATTTGGTTGTTCTGGATTTCGAATAGGTACATAAGATATTTATCTAGGTTGTTTCTGCATAATTTTTTCTAGTGCTGTTAGTTCATAAGACCAGACCCTTGTTAAAAAGGTGCTGATGACCAAAAGATTGTGTGGCTGGGATGATCACAGTACAATGCTGTGTCTATCTTGTGCATTGGGTGCTGTGTGACCTCTGTATAGTTGCACAATGATGGAGTTTTGTGGCTTCATTGCAGAACAGGTATTAATGTGAAGGGGAGTTATAAAAAGCAAATGAGCCAAAGTATTCATAGATGTGTGTATAATTCATGGCTCTTAAAATTGGAGTTGGCTCGTATTGGGTACTCTGAAAAACAGGTGAATTTTAGTTTTAGCCATTATGATAAAATGTTTAGAAAACAACATTTATATAAGTTTACTAGTCCTTTTAATTTAAACAGGCCTGTGAGAGTAGTAGAGGATATAATACATGAAAGATGTGTTTGTTTGGCCCTTTTGGTTTTTTTTCCACAGCTGAGGAAAAAAAAAATCTAGTTTTTTGGGACAATGGTCCCCAAATAAAATACATCTGCTGTGTATATACCTGGAATATGATGCTATGTGATATAATTTATTCTGGTTTTGTAAATATGCATTAATTTTATAGCTCAGTTTGCTAGAAAGGAAATCCTAGAGTGGCACATATTTTTTCCATGTATTTTGACCAGCCCTTGCAGGTATGCTATCAGCAGAAGAGCATTGCCTATTTTGTGAACTGTGGAACACAGATGAAGACTGTTCTGGTTCTATCAAAGATTCACTTTTCCTTGCCGTCCCTCCAAATCTGGAGTTAGATAGGTAGAAATGCCTGCCGTGTCTCAGAAGGAGAAAAACTTGTATTCAAGACTCTACAGGCTCATTAGAAACAAGGAGTGTTCAAATCTGTGAAGAGAGCTGTTAGTCTTTGTCTTTACCATTTCAGTGTTCTTATTTCTTCTGCCTCTTACCCCGAATGCTGTGCATCAGAGCCTCTGGTTGAAATATCTGATGTGTAGGCAACTTTTCTGTTCTCTTTCGTGGCAGTAAAATCAGCCATTGCTGTTTAAATATTTCAGTCAGACATAATTGTGTTGATACTTGGAATGTTAACACAACTAGTTACAGGAAAATTACCTTGCTGTTGGATTGTTTATATTTGGTCTCAAAAAGCATGCTGTTGCGTTCTGCAGCATATCTTCATGATCCAGAGAAACTTAAATTGTGGAATTTTCCTTTTGAGGGGAAAAAACCAAACGGAAGACAAACAAAACCCCAAAACTTGATTTGCTTATTATGAGCTTGAAGAATTAAAATAAGTAGAATTTCCATGCATATCCTTGTATATCTGATATATTTCAAGATCGTGTATGCTTAAGAAAAATTATGTTCTGTTCTTGTAATACTTAACTATGCACTTGTAACTGTTCTGTTTGATAATCTGTGAACTTGAATTGTGTGGACAACTACTTTATACAGTAGTTTGTGCAGATTACAATGTGCACGGAAGGTTTGAACTCTTAAAACCAGTAGTTTTTGAGTTTTGGCTTCTCAAAGTTAGACACTTTGCCAAAAGTTACTCTAACTTTTCACAGGCTTAGCTCAAAAACAGCTGTTGCAATCCCTGAACCAGAACAGAGAATAACTTTCTTACCTAATGTGTGAGAATCTTAATTCCTGATCTAGTAGCAGGGAACATAAGTAAAATGGAACCTTTAGCTTCAGGTGTGAAACTGCATTTCTAATATTAACAAAGGCAGTAACCCAGGTGCAAAGTTGATTGTCTGAATAGTTAGGAAGAAATTCTCTTTGAGTAGCAGCTCACAGTTGCTAAGTTTTCTGCACTTGTCTGAAGATCTTGGTATTGGCAGCTGTTTGTTGTAAAACTGGAGAACGAGTAACAAAAGCACTGGGAGCAGCATAACTGCAAGGAACACTGTGTCTGCATTTCTAAGCTTATGAAATCCTGCTTCATTTATACAAAACCATCCACTGCCAGTGGCAATACCAGGACCGAAGTAACTTCCCTTATATTGTAAATGCCATGGAAGTATAGCTACTTGGCTTCTTGACAATTAACTGTTGTGTCAGTCTTGCTTCCTATTGAATTTTCACACCCATGTCCAGCATCTCTTTCATGCCACTGAATACTGAAAATACAGCACTTAACTCCATGGACTGCTCTGGACAGACAGCTGCTGTAGTGGTAGAATGATCACACTTACTGTTCCATTCTTGTAAATGACAAGTTTGTGTTTACTTGACAGAAAATTCTCAAAATGAGTCAGGATTGCTTTGGCTATTAGGTGGGAGTTTAAGTTCCTCTTTTCTTTAGTTTCTGCCAAAAAGCCATCATCTGTTCTGAATTCAGCCAGTGAAAGACACCCTGTTCTTCATGGTATGAATGATCTTTCCTGAGATTCAGCTAGCCTTAAGGTTTAACCAAATCCACTCAAAATTGTGGGTGAGCTGCTTTTAGGTAGTTTTTCCCTTTGGGGTGAGATTTTTTTTTCCTTATTTTTGTTATTTTTTCCTTATTTATTTTGTTGGAACTACACCTTCTGAAAACTTAGGAGCAGTAATCATACTTTAGGTTTTCCTGGCATCCTTCAGATGTTTTGTTTCAAGCCATAATCATTTCTTGAAACGATATTAAATAACAGGGCTTTCTTGAAAGTAAGCTTGTGTTAACTGTAAGTACAGTTTTGTCAGCACTTCCATCTTTTGCAGAAAATTATAAAGGCTCTAATTTTTCCTATTTGACGAAGGAAACTTTGGCCTGTAGTGCAATTAATCTGCAAAGGCTTCTCTGGAAGTGCTAGGATTTTCCTTTGAATGATGCAGCACATTAATTTCTTTTTCTTATTTTATTTTGGGATGACTTGCATCTTCATAATTAAAGCAAGAGAAAGCCCTGAGACGCAGGAATTTCTATAGTAAGTATAATACTTTTTTCTTCCAGCCTCCTAGGATAGATATTGCTTGGGGATTTACTGTTTTGTTGCTTTTCTAATAGTTCAGGTACTTTCATTTTCTGATTTATGTCTATAACTGTGTTTCTCTTTATATGCTGAACATTCTTCTGAGATATCTGTCTAGTGAACTGCTGAGCAAAGAATTGTTTTAGAGTATGAAACCTTAGTTATGCCTTTTCACATACAAATATTTATATATCTGTCTAGTGGCGAGATGTATAGTCAGTGTTTTAGTTTCTCACCTTCCCAGGCTAAACTGTCTCCCACTTGTCTGTCAGCTTGATGTACTCATTGCTGAGCTTCAGGCAGAATGCTGAGAATCAGCAGGCTAACACAGCACTGTTGCAGATGCAGCTCTACCAGTGCTGAAGCTGTTTGGCTGCATGACAGGAATGTTCTGCCTCTCTTTATTGTAGTGGACTTGGAGGAGCAAAGATGTACACAAGGTGAATTTGGTTTTTGGGGTGTCTTTTCCCCCAGAAATTGAGAATGTGAATCCAGATTGTCATATGTCAATGAAAGTAAGAGTTGTGGTGAAACACTGAAAATGTGTTGTATACCTATGTCACAGTGGAAATGAAAATCTTGTTGTAGAGCTTCGTATGACATACAGAAAGTAGAGGCAGGAGCAGATGTGGGAATACTGATAAAAATCAATGAGATTATTAAAAACCAAAATGATTATACAGTCAGTCACACAAGAAACAAGCCTTTCACTTCTACTTTATCTTCTTAGCCTGTTCTCCCAGGAAGCAAGGCTCATTCCACCTTTGAACCTCTCAGCCTTTTTGAACAAAGTTGATCAAAGGTGCCTGAAAATACACATCTGCACAGGCAAGAGTGACAGTGTCAGTCCTGTACTGAGGGAAGTACTACAGGCTGAGCTCACTGCTTTCTGGACCCTAAAGAATCAACACACAAGAGAGGCCTGGGAAAATACTGGTTAGAGGCCCTTTTCTATGACACTGGGCGTCATTAGCTGCTCTCAAGGTTTTCTGCTGCTCAGGGAGTTAGTGCAAGACACGTTATTCAAGTGTGAGAGAAGAGTTACAAGTTTTTGCCTCGGCAGCCATGACTGCTATGTTGTAATGAAGCTCTGACAGAATTTGAAGAGTTGCAAAAACTTTCAAGTCTTCTCAAAGTCCAATGGATTCAAGCACTGCAGAATTGTATTTACACCTCAGCATCAAGAACAGATCAAGAACGAGGGCTTTTACTGGAAGACACTTTCTACAGATTCCTTTGAATTTCATGTTAGAAATGATTGTTAAAAGTAATACTCATTAAGTGAAGAGATCTTAAAATCTGGTTTTGGAGGAATAATGTATGGTATGCATGTGGCAGAAAGTGCGACTTGCATAAGAGGACAGAAGTTGTGGCAGCAAGACTGTGAAAAGAGTGGTGCAGTGCAGGAGCCTGTTGTGAAGACCTATGGCTTTAGAAAACAGTGCTGTATGTATTACAGTCTTCGTGTTCCATGGAGAAAAAAGACTTATTCCATGGGTTAAGAATGTGTGCATGCTACAAACAATATCTTTGGAAATGTCATGACTTGGAATCTTTCAACTGGGATGTATCCTGCAGAAGAAGAAGCCAAAATACCGGATCATTAAAGTGAAGAATCTAGAAGCTTTGGTAAGCAAGTTACCTGTAACTTCTGGAAGAGTGCCAACTTCACAGGGTACCACATGTCAGAAGCATTGCAAGATATGCTTTTATTCAGAAAGTTCTCTGCCTTGGCAATAATTTTGAAGCAATCAGAAACTTAGTTCCAATAAAAAATTAATCAATACTGTTGTTGTCTCCTTTATTCTACTCTATCTGTTGCATTCTGTTTCACTGAAGATCAAGAATCTTCACTGAAGATTCTGCAAGGCACTGGTAGAGTTTACTTGTCCAAAAAGGCTGAAATTTGGCCTGATTAAATTTATTTGTATGTTTCAGTTGTGCTGCTTTGGGTTTTTTACAAGTAGAAAAACTTATTTCTTAAGTAGCTTTTCAGAGGTTACAAACTGTAATGTAGAATTATATAGTCAAAATGTACGTAGAAATTCTTGAACTCTCCTCAGGGCTTATTACCAATTATATAAATAATTCTCCTTCAAGTTCCAGCAGATCCAGTTAATTCATTGTGCTCTGTCACTGATACAGAAGAATAAATTAGGAATTTGTCTAGCCTTTATTTTTTTCTTTTTTAGTAGCTGATTTTGTTTTTTTTACTGTTTGAAAACCTATGAAAGAAGCATGAAAAAAAATTACTAAATTCAGTAGTAAAGTTTTGTGACTGAACATGGAAAGTACGTATATTCTTAAATTAGAGGCACTGTGTAAGGTATGAATCTAATTTTATTTCAGTATATAGATTGAGATGATTTTGTTATTGTTGCTGGATCTGCAAGCTTGTTCTAATGTTCATGCTATCAAATGTTCCAGTGAGATTGAAATGTGACAGCGTGTTCACAGAGCTGGAGTTCAAAGAACCAGGAAGAAAATACTGTGAAAGTGAAGGATGAGCTTTCTTAGAAATAATTTGGTAGGATACCTGACAAGTATCTGAAATGTACATTGTCTAAAGATGAACAGGTACTTCAGAGGATGAGGCTGGACATATTCAGAATGTTTTACATCAACATCTGCATTTTCTTCCTTGCTGCAGAATTTAAAAAAATCTAAAGTCAGTAGGGAGAACACCTCCCTTGTAAACCAAACACCTGCCATTTGTAAACCAGAATTTAAAAAGACAGTGTTTGGATTCTGAGTGTTTCTAATTGGGATATGCCATGTATCCTTTCTGAACCCATCAAAAGTTAGTTGCTGATCCAGAAGTGGTGAGTGCATGTAACCTGTGTGACTGTACAATCATGTTGGCTTTGAAGTCAGTTAAGTGAGGAAATGCATCTGATTGCAGATGTTTGTTTTTTGGATGAGTTCCACTTCCTGTAAGAAAGGCATCTTTCTTCATCACATTACCATGTGAGTTTCCATATGGCAGAACTATCCCTAAGCTATTTTTGTGGTAATGACAGAATTGGATGGGTTTTTTTTCCCTCTTCAGCAGTTCAGAGGAAAGCAACATAACGGAAGATGCGGAAATAGAAGATGCCAAAATTCTGAGACTTTACTAAGAGTTTTAAGTCAAAACACACCTGAGTACATAAATTTCAGTTGTATGATTTCGTTGTGCAGTGATATAATTGGACAGATGGAATACTTCTTTCAGCTCTTTTTTAAGGCAGTTGCCCATGTGTTCATAAGGAGCAGAGTGCAATGAACATTGCTTTTTTTTTTTCTTCTTGGGGTCTATTGGCCAAAATAGAAAAGTTTTGAAAGCTTTTTGCTTTGAGCGAGAGGCATTAAATGATGAGGCAATGCCAATGTGCACACAGGCAAACATTTACTCGGCAGTAGCAAAATACAGTGGTTTACTATTCTTAGTAAACTCATGCCTCAGGCAAGAGGCATAATACAGAGTATGAGCTCTATTAAAGCCCTTGATGGGCTGCCTTGCTTTATTGCTGAAATGAATATGGCAGACAGGAGTGGATTAATGCCATTTTTTTTGTACAGCCTGTGGAATTTTACTTGCATTACAGTATGATGCAGAGGTAGCTTGTCCTGCTCTTACGGCAGTACAAATGAAAAGTGTAAAAAGGGATGTTGTATGTTCTTAGCTGCTGGATCTATCTGCATCTGTATCCTTCAGATTAAACCTGTAAATGGCACAATGAGTAAAGAAAGCTTCATTATGGTTGTTCTGTAAAACATGGAGTCAAGGAGAAGAACCCAGTGTGAAAATAAGCTGCAGTTATTAAACAGCACTGATGACAAGTTCTTCCTCCAGTGAAGGCACAAATGTTGTGGATTCTGCCTTGTGTTCATCAATGATAACCTTACCAGTATCCTGATCAGCATTTCAACTTAATATTTTAAGAAATTGATATGTTTTAACATGTCCCTCTATGCTCAGTGTAAACATGGATAAGGATGTGCTTTTGGGTGCATAACTACTGCTAAGTCTTCAAAGGAAAAGTCTGGAAGTTCTATTCTGACTTAGAGACTAGAAGAGAAAATTTTTCAGAAGCCATAATAATAGAAGGATAGGATGGAACACACTTTCAACAACCTTAATGCTCTTCTCTTGGGGAGTTCTTCGACGTGGTGGAATCTGGCGTCTTTGTGCCCTTCCCTTTTGTACTCAAAAGGGAATCTGTGGCATTGAGCTTGGGACATCCTTGTTGATACTGAGTAGCTGAACTGACAGTTTTGTTTTGAAACTCCCTTTTGTTTTGAAATGGCTGTTACATTTCTGGCAGTCATTAGGAATGTTTGTGCATTACAAATAACATATACAGATGTTTCTTTGTTCTCTACCTTTTATATGTTCAGCACTCTGTAATTGAATATTGAAAGGAAAGTGTTTTTCGGGAAGTTGTTGGGTTTTTTTATTTGTTTGTTCATGTACATAGCTAGTATTTGGAAAATAGCTCTTACTGAATAAATTAATTAGGTGGAAGAGATTTCCTGAGACTGATTAGGTGATTTCCTAACTTCCTGATTGAAGCAGGACTACAGCCAGTGCTGGATCATCACTAGATTGCTGAATCCTTGAACATCTTCACAGACTGAGGGTGTGCTACCTGTGTTTAATCGGTCTGTAGTTGCTTCTCTGCTTGAAGAGGAATTTTTTCCTAATATCTAATCTTTGCACCTGAAGCAACTATTTCTGACTCCTACTTTTTAATACTTTTGTCACATCCCACAAGGCTGGATGTTTTGTAGTTGCTGTTCAGGTATCCATGCTATTATATCTCCTCTTAGTCCCCTTTAGACAGTGCAGCTCCCAAACCTGTGCTCATAAGTTATTTGCCTTGGGTTGTTTCTTGTGCTAGCCATTTTGCTGGGCCCCCTCTGCTTTCTCTACATCCTCCTTGAACTGAACAAGGATGATAGTATTCTTCCTTGCAAGTCCTGGATAATGGGGTATAAGATATTCTGCAGTGAGCTGCCTCAACTATCTCAGTGTTCCCAAGGTCCCGCTCAGCTGAAGCTGTGGCATTGGTTGTATCCCCTAAATTACTGTTGCCTGTGAATTTTCTGAGGGTATTTTATGAATGCAAACATCAGTAACCTGGTTGGAGGTGCATCATTGTGGGCCCTGGAATTTGCTCTTCGGGGGATTCTGCTGCTTACTGAACACCAGGAGGCTGCTTTGTTGATTGTTTCCCTTTGAGCCTGGCAAACCAGGTGATTTTCAGCTCATTCAGTCTGGTATGTTTTAGAGAAAATCCTATTTTGGTTTGGTTTTGAGATGCTTAAGAAATATATTATTCATAACATTACAAAGCCATCTGGCTAGTAAGCGTGAATTAAATGTTAGCCTGGAAACCTGCTGTTGCTGAATGGGGAAGAGTCTTCAAGATCAAAACTGCTTTGTTCAACTTCTGTGGGCATCAATGATCTTTACTTAATGCTTTTTCTAATAAAAAAAAAAATCAATCTCCCTTTTGTAATAGCATCAACTACAACTTGATTTTTAGCTTGACTATATTTGTAATCTCTAACCATGTTAAGGTAGAATGTGCTGTGAACTGCTTCTGGTGCAATTCTCTGTAAATTCACTTTGTTCCTAGAAGAAAACTAAATAAAGCACTTTTTCACATACACCTGTTTGTATCATATAGCATTTGGCTGTGTTGTCTGCACATGCTGGACCTGGAATCTTAACTTGAGCTTCTGACACTAATTGAACAGTTCTGACATTAAGTAATTGTTATACTTGCAGAATACATGGGAATCTTCTTGCTACCAAATACTTTGAAGCTTTTAACTGAAAAAGATGCATAATTTTTTGTAAGAAATCAAGGGAGATATACTTTCCCATACTCCTTCCTTATGTTAATATTGCAGAGTTGTTTCCAAAATGTTTGTAGACTTGATTTGATTTACAGCTTTGATACTTACCTCTTAACTCCCTGTCTTATACAGAAAGAGGGAAAAAAAAAAATAATGCACCATATTGTGTTTGCTGTGACTCTAGAAACCATTTTTACTTCTAAATTAGGAATTATGTGTGCAAATAATAATTTAACTTTCACTTTTTCCATCAAATGAGTATTAGTATATCAGTTTATTTTAAGCTTGAATGCTGTCACTTACAAAATATTGACAAGATCATTAAAGCATGGTGGTTTGTGTGTCTATGGATTTGAGGTAGAGAGGGGCAAGGGAGAAATTCTAGCAGGAGTGTAAGTGCACATATTAATGTTCACTTTGAAGCTGTGAGTGATTAGGAATAGATACAGACCCCTATGTAAAAGAAGATGTAGTTTAATGACTGTATTAATTGTGTCTGGGATTGTGTTTAGGCTCTGAATATTTAGACCAGAAGCTTTTGTTGAGAGATTTATTGTCAAGCATGATACTGAATAATTAAAATAAGTATCCAGTATGAAAGGCACTTAAAAATCAAATAAGAACTTAATATTCTGGGTTTCTGTGACATCTGTGTGTTTGGTATTTTGTGTTGATGGGGAAGTGAAATGGGAGATAAAGCAATGAAATTAAAGAAAACCTATCAAGATGGAAAACTTGGCCTGTATTAAACTGCAAAATGAAGATAACTGTTAAATTTTGTAACATGTTTCAATGATCTACTAAGTATTTACTAAATGCAAATGAGAAGTAATCTGACTGTCAAACTTTTATCCTAGGTTCTTCTGCTCTTATCCAAGTTCCGATGAAGTATCGAGTGCTCAGACGAGGTAGCTGAATATAAATGATACCTTTTTCAGATGCAACCTTGAAATCGCTGGTTTTATTTCAGTGGTGACTGAAGCAGGTGTTTTGATTATGGTCTAGAAAGAAGCAATGCAAGCTGCCAAGCATTTGAACCATTGCTTTTCTTTTGTGCACTGGTTAATTTATGTAATAAAAGATCTTAGAAGAATATGAAGGTACAAGTTTTTTTACAGAAAGGCTTAAACTGGAGACACAGTTGCTGTCTTCATGATTATCTGTCAGTATCGTGGTGAACCTAACTAGTATTTTTTTAATTGGTGAAGTTTTCAATAAAAAAAATTGCAGCATGTTCAGCATACAGTGAAAGCATGACAAACCAAAAGCATATAAACCAAGAGCAGCATGGGTTATTTGCTTTAAGATGCTACTAAGACAAGAGTATTTAGCTGTGTGTTAGGAAACAAGAAGAAAGTGGCTCTTACCTTGACGAGACCTTTAACTTTTTTCTGTGTGCATCTTTCTGAAAGATTACGTGCCTTTGTCTGTCACCTTGGAAGTAACCAGCTCACACTGAGCTGCTGCACAGGCACACAAATGCACACACTTAAGTGTTGATAAGTCTGTCTATGGAGATGAATTCCGTGGCACCAACTTGTTACCTGTTAACTCTGTCACATGCTACTGCTGCATGTCACTTCAGGCAACAAAAATCCCCAACCAAAACACAGGATTTTACGAGGACTGTGAACTTTTGGTTGGAACGGGACACATTGTTGTGGTAGAAGGTGTCCCACGAGGTATTTTGTAGCACTGTTAAATTGCAAGAGGTTTTTCATCTAAATGGTTCAACTTAGTGAAGTTTTATCCTTGTGTGCAGTTATGGAGTTCAACTTGATGGCAGCACAGGCTTATTTCTAATTGAATGAATATTTAAGAATGAATAATGAATTCCCTCTTCTTGTGAAGTTGTGGTTGGGGTTTCTTTAGCCATAACCTGACATCCTAGTGTGAAAGAACACAGTAACAGTTCAGTGTTTGTGGTATATCTACTTCTTTGCTTCAGTTTGAAGAAACTAGCAGTGTTAATTACTCTTACGTAATTAATTGGTCAGTTTTATGTAATTAGGTAGATAAATTCTAGTTCTGCACTTTTTTTTTGCAGATTAAATATATGTATTTTAACGCTTCAACATGGTCTTTTATAATGTCCAGCATTTGAATATACTTAATGCCTGTTTGGGATTGTTTTGCAGGTATATTTAGCTGAACTGTACTGGTGTTCTAAGCTGAGCAGGAATGCTTTAGAATTGTTTTAGGCAGAGCAAAAAACAGGCTATTAAAACTCAGTGAGGAGCAAGATAGAGCCCTGATTGAAACACTGCTAGTTCAGACTCCGGACTATACCGAACGTGTCTATGCAGCCTTTGGGTATTTGCTTTATTAGTGAAGATTGTGCTCTTTGTTAGCCTTAAGGCAATATAATTTTTGAACTTCAAACTCCAAACAACCCATCCCAGAATGCTGTATGAGTATTAGGGTTTTAAGGGGAGGAGGAGGTTGGCGGCTTTTCTTTTTTTCATGAGACCTGACACAGTCTGGGACATGCTATGAATGTGAACTTGATATCTTTCCTCAGTAAACTGAATTGTGTTAGAAGTCTTGTTTTGCTTATTTGGTACTTTCCTTGAAGACATTAAATCCTTGTATATAAAATAGTTATGGAAGACAAAGTGTTGGACTTATTCTCTGTGGGACTGAGGTCTTGCCTGTTTTCCTTTTGCATCTCAGAGTAGGAATGAATTTTGTCACCACTAAAGTCTCTCACTAGAAACTCCTTTTAGATCATAGACATTGTCTAAACTATGTAATGTGTAATGTTTCTTTATGTGTGTATTGTTTACTTCAGTGAAGAGAAAATTCACAGGGTATGTAACCTATCTGAAGGATTTTATGAATGATCCCAGAAGAGAAGAACCTCTAATTGGTATGGTTTTTTTTTCTTATAAATTGTATGCTTTTGAATTTGTTACCAAATGGCTTTCTTTTGAAATAAAAGGTGGAATTTTAGTTACTGTTTAATTTTCTGTAAATGTATTTAATAAATTACCTATCTCATACAATTTAAATTTTAGTTTATTATAAAGGGGTATTATAAATATAAATTATAAATGGGTATTATAAAGGCCTCCTTAACTGTTAACTTGTTCTTGAAGGAGCCATCTAAGTAAAGAAGCTTTTTCCGGATCACAGAATAGTTGAGGTTGGAAGGGGCCTATGCTGATTTTAACTCCTGCTCAAGTCACAGAGGAGGTCGTTTGGGACCAAGTCTAAATGGCTTTTGAATATCTCCAAGGTGAAAAACTAGTCTCTCAGGGAAATCTGTTCTAATGCTCAGTCACCCTCTCAGCCAGAGTGTGTTTCCTATTGTTCAGACAGTATCTTCTGCTTCAGTTGTGCCATTGCCTCTTGTCCTGCCACTAGGCACCACTGGAAACAGATCCCTCTTTGCACCCTCACCTCAAATATTTATACACAGTGATGAGATCCCCTCTGGGCTTTCTCCTCTTCAGGCTGAACAGTTCCAGCTTTCTCAGCTTTTCTCATGGGAGAGATGCTCTAGTGCCTTTGTCATTTTCATGGCCCTTCTTATGCCCATGTCTCTTGTACTGGGCATTCCAGAATTTGACACAGCACTCCAGGAATGGCTTTACTTGTGCTGACTGGAGCCTGCTGTCAGCATTCCTCCTTGTGCAGCCCAGGATACCATCAGCCTTTGATGGCCCATCTTCAGCTTGGTATCCACTAGGTCTTTTCCTGCCAATGTGCTTCCTGGCTAGCCAGCCCCTAGCATGGTCTGGTGCCTGGGCTTGTTCTTCTCTGGATGCAGGACTTGGCACTTCCCCTTGCTGATCTGCCTGAGCTTCCTGTCAGCCCAGCTCCAGCCACTCAGGGTCCCTCTGTATGGCAGCACAACCCTGCGGTGTATCAGGCATCCCCTCCCAGTTATGTGTCATCATCAGCCTTTGTGAGGTTGTGCTCTGCATCATCATCCAGATCATTAATGAAGGTTTTGAGCAGGACTGGACCCAGTACTGACCCCTGGGGTGCACTGCTGCCTTCTGGCCTCCAACTGGACTTTATGTCACTGGTGACTTGTCATCAGCTGTGGTTCTTTGTGGCTTTCCATCTGGTGGGATATACAGATGTTTCTATTTAGTGAGATATTTTTCCTCACTGCCTTTGGCTACACTTGAAGTAGTGAGATTAATTTTAATGCTTGCTTTCTAACTGCTAGATTAGGCAACCCTTAGGAGAGAAGCAAGGCTGCTTGTCAGTGACCTTAGTATTCCAAGTGTGTCATGATGGCCTAGTTTCTCTGATGAAAGCCTAAGTAGCAAGTTTCCTAGTATTAGCAGAAAATTTCTCTGTTTAATGCGTTGTCTTGTAGTTACTCCACATAGTAAATTGCTAGGCTTTTTTTATATTAATACTTTACTATAAGCATTTGTAATAGAAAACACTTCAGTTGCAAGAACACTTACAGTTCATTTGGTGATAGTTTATTTTCAGAGTTAAGATTTAGCAGTATGATACTGTAGCAGGTCTGAGATGGAGCTGAATTTCTTCATAGCAGCCTGTATGTTTTGGACTTGTGACAAGCAGTTTTGATCACACCCTAGTGCTTTTTCCTGTTGCTTGGCAGTGCACCTACATCAAGACTGTTTTGTTACTCTGGGTTCTCAAACCTTGATTAAGCTGGGGGTGGGCAAGAAACTGGGAGGTGGCACATCCAGGGCAGCTGACCCAAACTGGCACAAAGGATATTCTGTACCACGTAATGTTATGCTCAGTAATCACGGCTGTGGTAAAGAAAGAAAAAACGGGGGGAACCAGGGTTTGACTTCCAAGGTGGCTGTTCAGAGACTGTGGGTGGGCATTGGTCTGCTTGTGGGGAAGTGATCTATGGGTTTTTGCATGTTGGTTGGTTTGGGGGTTTTTTACCCCTCTTTCCTTAACTTGTTAAACTGTCTTTAAGTCTGTGAGTTTCGTTTCTTTTGTTCTTCCTGTGTTCTCCCCACCCTGCTGAGGGGTGTGCATGTGAGTGAGCAAGGAGCTGTGTGGTTCTTGGCTGCTGGCTGGGATCAACTCATCACAAATACAGAGTACTGGAAATTATGACATACGGAAAACATCTACAGGATTTGCCTATTTGTTTTAAACTGCTTTTAAATTTATTATATTCAAACTTTTCAGAATAAAACTTCTCATGCTAGGTTAAGAAACCTCAAATTTGAAGATTTCTGAATACTTTTAAGGGATTGTCTCAGTAATTTCTAGGAAAAATGAAGAAAAATCCAATTTTCATTCTTGTAATTCTTAAGGGTTTATGGAACATTTTCAGACTATGAAAGATTTGGTTTTGTGAAATGATTAATGTCTTTACTTTGACTTGGATACTGTCCAAATTATGTTTGACTAAGTGTATAAGGTGCAGTTTTTAAATCTAGACATTTGTAGGCATCTCTTATTCTCATTTTCTTTCTTAGCTTCTTGAAAAAATATCCCAGACAGAAGTAAAGGTGCATGAAATATATTTGGTGGGCTTGGAAATCTGCCATAGATGGTGTATGTCCTTTCAGAATAAGACATTAGAAAGAGATAAATTTAGCTGATGTGAGTAGTAAGTCCAAAGAAGCACTGAAGTGATCCTGAAGGAGTGCCAAATTCTGAAAATTGATTAATTTTGAATTTAATGAACAACATTAAAAAGAATGCATTTGTTTCAGTAGTCTGTAGTAAAATAGAGATATTTGTAACTCTTGCTTTTACAGGTTTAGAATATGTGGTTGAAATCAGATTTGAAGGAAGAAGAGAGCCACGTTATGAGTGCAGGCTGTGTGGATGTAATACAGAAGTGGCACCTATGATAGAACATCTTAGTGGATATAAACACAGAAGAGAATACATTGTGAGTAATTTCGCTGCATTATGATCACAGTTTCTTTATGATACTCCCCTTTTATTTTTTTTCCCCTAAATAATTAGATCATTTGAAGTTTAAACTCCTACATGATGAATTTTTAACACTTTTATAGTTGACTCTCCCTGGGTCAGACCAACATGAAGAACTCTGATGCTGTGAGCTATTGAGGCAGTACAGTCCAGGGCTGCCTGTCTATTTCAGCCCCAAAGTCTGTTCCTAAGTGTTTAGATTACTTTTAGGATGAGGTTCCAAAAACAATGTGATTCTTTTTTATTCCCCAACATGTCCATAGCATTGCTGGATTTGGTACAGAGGGTGTTGTTTCCTTTTGGTAGCAAGCTTTGCATGGTATCCATTTTTTATTTTGAAGACTCCTTTAGTAATTCTAAAATTTGATTAGATATGTTGCAGAAAAGAAATTAACTGATAATATTCAGATCAATGTTTATGAGTCTTCTGGAAGCTTGTCCAGAAGGTGAAATGTGTAAATTTTCTAATATTGTGATAAACTTTGATATTAACCTTTTCAAGCTGGTTTTGTTTACAGTCTAAAGAATTTCCAGATAAAATGAGGAGAAAACCATCAGATGCAAAAGAATGCAAAGTCTCGTTTCTCAAACGGATAGCAGGAGAGCTAGAGAAAAGCGAAGGATTAAAAATGTATAAGGTAATTGGAAGTAAATGTAAAGTATCTGTTAATGTGTCTTTTATCAGTTCATTTATATTTGATAGAATAAATTTCAAAAGTACTGCTGTCAAACCTTGTTAAATTTATGTGCATTTCTAGGAAGTGTAGTAGTGAGTTGAACTAAGGCTTACCTTTAGATTGCCCTGAAAAATCTGGGGAAAAGAACAGTAGTATTGAAATTTATCTGAAAAAAGTCAAAGCTTTATATTTTTAAGGTTTTAGGTGTTTTAAATTGAAAATTGTTCAGTCTGAATTCAGTGATTCAGAAATTTTATTACTTTAACTTCAATAATTTTTAATTTTTGCAAGTTAAATTTTCTCAAATGTAAGCAAATTTTCTCTCAAATTTCATTTATATTTACAGGAGTTTTTATCTGTATGTGAAGAATTCAATTTAATTACATTGGCATAAATAAAAGTACTTGTTCTTTTCTTAAAGGCAGTTGCAGTAGAGACTGTCATTATGAAATTTTAGTTAGAAACATTCTGATATGAAACTTTTTCTATTTTTAGATTGAAGGTTACACAAGACCAGCTACCTCATGTAAGTCTGAATTTGTTGAATGTAGTAGATTTGATATAATTGATATTTGGCTTAATTTGACTTAGTAGGCGAACTCAAAGGGTTTGACTGATATAAAACATTTAACTTGTAGTACCACAAAATGTTTTCAGAGGTTTTTTGTGATTTTAAAGCAATGAAAGAAGGAAATTACCAGACTTCCTTAGATGTTTTTTAACTTCTTGGTTCCAGAGGTATTTATGATAACTGCAGTAATTTACTCATCAAGGAAAGTAAAAATGTGTGGAAAAATGGTGCTAGATGGCTTTCTCAGAATAAGCTGATAAAGTGTCCTCCAACTCATTCCTGCTATCAAAAGACTTACATGCTGAATCACTGGTGAAAGTGGAAATTTACCATTCTTTAACAAATCCATTGGAACAAGCGATGGAAACCAAACCCACAAACATAAACCCAGCATCCTCCCTTGTACAGTATGTCTGAGTTCTTTGTTACTGTAGGTGTGCTGTAGATCCTTAATGATGCCAATCTGGAGGAATGCCTCCTTGTCAGCCTGAATCCTTGCTTTTTTCGGTTTTGTTGGTTTTTTTTTTTTGTTTTTTTTTTTGGTTGCTCACTGGTGGCCTCTGTGGCTTGTACTTTTGAATGTTGGTCTGCAAAACAAGGTGGCAGTAAATCTTTTTGATCTCAGTGTGTCTTATTAAGAAGAGGGAATGTGACCTGGTTAATAGCTCAGTAATTCTCAGTTCAGAGTAAACTGACATAAGTCAAGCCAGTAGGTTTCTGTACAAGTGGAAGACGTGGTCAAATATCAATCTGGAACATGAAAAAGAGTGATCCCACCCAGTCCTACAGGATATGAAACTCTAGAAATATGGACAAGAGGGAGATTACCTGCAAAAGCGTTGTGCCTTTCAATATAGAAAGCTCAGGTTAGGTAATGTCAACATCAAGTGAATTCCAAAAAAAAAAAATCCCTCTGGTTATTTAGAAGAAAAATCATGGTTACTGGGTTAGCAGCTGTGTGACTGTCAAGTAGATCATATTGGCAAATTTCAAAACTCTCTTCTGACTGTGAGAGTGAATTTGAGGATATAAATAAGAAAGGCCATTTGGTGATATGTACTAGCGTGCAAGTGCCAAAATGGACAATAACAGCTTCATCACCATGTGTTAACCATGTAAATGGGAGCTGGTTATCATGATGGCACAAGTCTTTCAGCCTGGTGTTTCAGTCTTGTAGGGCCAATGTTGTCACATTTCCTGAGAATTATTACATGTCCCGTTGCTTATCCTGGAGCACCTGTGTTGATAAATGCTTAAGAAGTGGTAATTCAACAACAGAATTCAACAGAATGACTAGGTTGGAAGAGACCTCCAAGATCATTGAGTCCAACCCATGCCCTAACAGCACACTAGAACATGGCACCAAGAGCCATATCCAGTCTGTTTTTAAACAGTGATAAGTGATAAGTACTTATCAGTGGTAAGTGATAAGTGAACAGTGATAAGTACCATCCAGTAGCTAGTTCTCTGAAGCATAGTTCCTGTTTTAGACTGTCTTGTTTTGCTGAGCCCTCCCTCCCCTTATACACTGATAGAGATGAGATGATCAGACATTCCAACCCTCATAACTTCTTGTTGGAAACTTAGCTATTGTATTTGTAGCTTTTGTGTTCACTGGTATTTACTCAGAAAAAAACCACATGCAGACCTTGAAACTTTTTTTAATGGAGGAGACAGGCCCACCTCAGTTTATTCCATACAGTCTTGTGTTGGATTCAGCTGCCTGAACAAAGGTGCTGCAGGGTACCCTGCAAAGCCTTTAGGGCACAGGTCTCGCACTGACTTTTCATCAAGGATGCCTGTTGGTTTCTAAGATGGCAGTGTGTGCCATCTGCTGCTGAATCCTGCCCTTTACAGAAACTGCAAACACTTCATGGCCATTAACTGTTCTGTTTGTGTAATGTGTCTGTTGCAGTAATACAGTGCAAACCTTGTGATGTTGCTAATAAATCTTTTTTATTTTCTAGCCCCATCAAAGAAGAAAGCAAGGTGAGAGTACTACCCACACAGGAGGATCAAAATCTATTTTTCTGTTGAAAACATGACATATGAGAACATATTTTTTATTGTCTGTCCACTGTACTTATGCCTCTTCTGTAAATTGTTCCTTTTTGTCTGTGAGGAAATAGTAGCTATGGCTTTTGAAATACTGCACTCAAAAAGTAATTACAATTGAAATTTCAAGCTGCTTCCTTTCTATGTGGAATATCATTGGCTGAATAAGTTTTATAAAAAGGTGTTTATATAGGAAGAAAAAAACCCAACTTACCATTATTTTAGTCATCTCCTTTAGCTGATTTGTAAATAAGTTCATCTGTACTACTGGCCTCTTTGAGAGTCAGTCAGAATAAGGACCTTTACAGCATATTTAAAACATTGTTATTTCTTAGAGAAAGATATCCAGTATTGTTAAGTGATATAAATTTGGAAACTGAAATATTTTGGTTCTAGATACTATGAGTAAATCTAATGTTTAGTAATTTTTAGAATGCATCTTAATGCTGCTAATTTCTTTCTTTTAAGGTGGGAAGATGATTATAAGCATGAGGTATGTAGAGGCAGTAACTCCACACAAGTGTTCACATACCCACAAGTGTCTCATGTAGCCATTTCTTTATGCTCGTTTTTCATTTTTCTGGAAAATGCTTACTCTTTGGCTTCATTTACTATTTTGTTAATATTGTTGCAGAAGGAATTGAGCTAATGAGTCAGAGGTTTGTGTTTGTCACAGCAGAGTGGAAGAGAATACAATACATTCACCTTAGCTCTCATAAATCCTATTCAAAGCCACTGAGAGTCTCAGAGCCAGTGTATCCAGGCCGGGTCTCCCAGCCTGTGCTGCAGTCTCCTCTTCCCTGTTTTATCCCTCTTCAGATCAAGACTATTCTATACAGAAAGATTGGTTTAAATATTAAGATAAATCTAAAGATTCACCATCCTTTTTTTTAACTCAAAGGTGGAATTAAAAATGATCACTGAAGCATCTGTCCTGATTAGCTCTAGAGACAAACACTATGAAGTGCCTTGTTTTTATCTTAGTGGCAGAGTTGGTTGTGTAGGCCTCAGGCTGGTCACGTACTATGCTAAATGCAGCTGAACACTTTAAACATGTTTTTAAAACATGATTTTGCTCATGAGTGAAGAAAGGCTGGGAAAGATAGCTCCTGTAGGTGTTCTTCCTGGTACTGGCAGTAAAGCAGTTGTGTTTGTGTAGCTGCTAACTGATACTGAGGATCTAAGGTTATATGTTTATGGTTCTGACTTAAATTTACATCTTTTCTTCGTGTTGACTTTTGTTGTTGAATAAAAGATTAAGATGTCTGTTCTGTACAAGATAATGCAACAACTGCTGTAAAATTCAGTCCTTTAAATTTTTTTTCCCCTATTCTACAATCCCACAGAATGATCCTGTTCGGAAACAGAAAGCTCTGGAGTTCTTGGTATGTATGTAAAATAATTGTGATGAGAGTCGTGACGTTTCACCAGTATGATGCAATGAATATTGTGAAAGAGCCTCTTATTACTGATCAAACCCATTTCACTGCAACATTAATTTCTATTTTAGTGGACTCTGCCCTGAAAAGTTAGTGCAGCTGTAGCTCAGCTCAGAACAATTGACTGGATTAAATGTGAGCTCTCAGGAGCCACCCTGACAAGCAGTTTTAATTAGCAGCACTGATTGTGCTCAAGTACTGCTGGCTGCCCATATCTAATGGGATTGTTGATAATGCTGAGCAAGAGGAGCCAGTCTGGTCTGGCTGCTAGAGAGAGCACAGCTGCTGGGCTTGGAGTGATTGGGGAAGTTTTGTCAGTTCTGTTGCTGTTGTCAGTGGCATAGTAAGCCTCGGTTTGTCTTTTGGGTTTATGAAAATACCTGACCATTTGTGTTTACCATTTTACATAAGTCATGTTCTGTACCTAGAAATTAGAAAATTAGAAATTAGAAAATTTCTTTTGAGTTCAAATTGTGTTTATACGCCCAGATCAGAAGTAGAATGTTTTGAGATGTGTGCTTCATATCTTCCACGCTGTAGTTACTTGTGACTTCAGAAGGAGACAGAGAGAGAAAAAGCAAGTCCAAGGATAATCAGTAAACTACAAAAAAGCTTTGTAGTTAATTGACTTTTATCTACAGGAATCAGAGCTATTCCTTACAAAAGACTGCCTATATTCTTTTAACTTATTCTAATCACTTATAAATTTATTTACTTAGTAATCAGCCTGAAGCTTATTTTTATTCAATTTTCTACACAGAAAATACAAATTTTAGGACTTGTGCCCTTCTCCAAAGGGCAACAAAATGTTTATGGACTGACAGTACAGGAGAGAATTCCAGGTTTACATTTTACCTTTTATCAGGCCATAATTCTGATCCAAATTTTATTTTTTTATATTTTTGTATACATTTATCATATATGCCATATGTTGACCAATAGTATAAATTTGGTTATACCAAAACAAAAGTATAACTTTGATCTGTTTGTGTATATGACCCTTCAGCATCCTAATAACCAATTCTAACCATGTTTTTCGACAGGAGACTTTTCGCATCACCTCAGACTCAGAAGCAACACTTGTTGTTCACATTACACAGGAACTCATGGAGGCTTTGAGGGCCTTTTGTGAAAAGAGAGCAGCAGTAAGTAACTTGATCTTGTTCAAAGTTATTTTGCCATTGGGAGGAAAGGAGTGGTTAAACTGCCAGCCTCTAACAGTTCAGGCATGGGTCAAAACCCCCAGTTAAATGTATTTCAATTTTAGTTTTTTGCAATTTCTAAGTAACAAAGCTATTAATTACATAGCATGTTTCTCTTATTATTCCATCATCATGTGTCTGTTTTGGCTTTTCTGTGTGTGTGTGTGTTCTGTCCTGGGCACCACTTTGCTTCTCGACGACAGGTTGTCATCCTTTTTGTGTTGGTCCCTTGATTAATAGCTTTTGTTCTAAGACCAATGAGGCTTTAAGTGCCACCCAAATGTGCCACTTCTTCCTTTCATGGGCCTGTGGGTAGGTCTCTCTCATAATTTGTAGCTTTGCTCTCAGTTGAGAGTTTTAATCTGTTAAGACTAGGGAAAGATGTCCTTGACCATCTGTTGTTCCTTACAAACCTCCATAGCTTCTTTGCAAAGAGATTGACTACCTGTGGAAAAAGGAGTCCAAAGAATGACCAGAATCTGAAAAAATGATTCATTACTCTGGCAGCTGGTTCACAAAATTCAGGATGTGGGGTTTTTTTCTGAAAACTGTTTCAGACTGTTTTTTTCAATTGTATATTCTATGTCAGGTGAGCTACAGTAACTGTCTCTGTGCAAATGCTGCCACTAACACCAGTTAAATATTGTTTCTGTAGCTTAGTCTCTCAGCTGGGCCTTCCATTCTGCATTCCCCAGATGGAGGCAGGATTTGCATATGCACCAGTTTTATATTTTAGCCAGGTGATGGTAAGAGAGATGAGGCAATCAATTTGAAACAGGAGACATTTTCTTCACCAGACACCTCCTTCTGTTCTCCAGACACATACCTCTTCCAAATAAGACTTCGGAAAATTGTGGTATAATGTTGTAACAACACACCCCTCATACGGACTTTGCTATCACCTAATATTGTACCTTGCTAACTTTCTATGGGAAATTTGTTGCTTTTTAGAATTTGTGAAGTTCTTAAATCTTTGCATTCGCAAACGGACATTCTGACCTTTTGCTTTACCTAGGATAATTACACCAACAGTGTAGGCCCACTGATGTCAGTACCTCAAGATAAATTTCCAGAAAGGGAAAACATCTCAGAACACTATGGGCCAGATGGAGAATACAAAGGTAATTTAGATATTTTGTTCTATTAGTTTGTTTACTCTGGAGACTGCACAGATTATGAAAATATACTTTTATGGCCAGCCATAGTGCTTCTTAGCTGGTGTACTGTGTGTCTTTGCCCTCTGAGTCAGTTCAGGATATCATTTTCTGAAGCTTTAATGACTTAACTGTCTGAAAACATTCCTTTCTCACCCTGAACCTGGAAGTGTTATAGCAGTTAAAGTTATGGAAATTCAAGCAATAACCCTTCATGATCTATTTACTGTTAGAATTTTTGGGTGAAAAGATGCCAAACTGAGGTAAGACATAAAGGCACTAAAGGGGAAAAGAACAGAAGGATGCATCATAAAATCTCAAAGTAGTTGTATTTGCAGTTGGTATTTTAATATTTAACTAACTTTTAATGCTCTTTATTTATTCAGGAAGTTCTGACTGGAATCAAGGTTTTTTGTCTCAGTATGAAGAGTGTTCTGAAGATTTTTCTTTTGCTCCTGCTCACTCAAACAGTTACCATGCATATGATGGATCATACTCTTGTCATCTGAGATCTGAGGACTTTGCAATGATGCCTCCACTCAGGGACTCTCCTGCTGTTGAGCCTGATAATCCTGTTAGTGGTATCAGTGAATGGCTGAGACAGCTCAGAAACTCTGTGTCAGTTGCTGGGGCCTCTTCATACACAACCGGCCCAGTGAAGGAGTATTCAGCAGAATACATATCCAGTGATGTGCAAGGAAGTGAGCTCCTTGATAACAGATTCTCATTTGGCAGGGAAAATACAAAATGGAGGGATCAACAAGCGTGTACAGATTCAAGGCATATAAGTGACCAAGAATTACCCTATCCCAGTTCTTCTGCCTCATATCCTTCATCTGCAAGGTACTCTACAAACTATGCTTCACAAAACTATTCGTGTTACACGAACAGTGAGTCTGTGAATACTTGTACGTCTTTGGCAAATTCTGGTGTTTCAGAAAGAGGTGGCTCCAGGTGGCACCAGGACACTAGGTGGAATGAGTGGAAGCAGGAATCTAGGTGTCAAGGATTCAGGTATCAGAAATCAGGCTACCAGAGAGACTGGAGTTCACATCAGGACTCGTTTTGTGGAAGTGGTTCGTACCAAGATCACCAGCAGTTCCGAAACTCTGAAGAGATATTTGATGGAGTTGATGCTGGTCTTGCTCCCAACACTGTGAACAGACTACTAGGAAAGGATGTACCTACAATGACCAGGATGCTCAAACAGTTGGCTCCGTATTATCCAGCACTTCAAAGTAAGATTGTGATTAGTTTGCATCATGTGAAATGAGTCACATCAGCATGGTTATTTTAACACTAGCAGAGATTTCAGATTACAGAAATAGGATGAAAGCTGTTCAGGGGAGTTGAGCTCATTTTGCTCACGTCTGTATCAGCTGAAGAAAGGCATTGTTACCTCTCTGAGGACACTGTGCCTCCTGGCAACTAGATGGAGCAGCGAGTGGGAGGAGATTCTGATAGCGCAAAAATTTCCTGAAGTGAAAGGTTTGTCCTAGGTCATCTTTTTAACTAGCAGTTTGTATCATGAGTTGCACTGGTAGGTTTGCAGTGATGGGAGGGGAATGTGTTGGCATAAATTAAAAAATATTGGAATGCATGCAGAACCAAACCTGGATGACATTATAAGAGATAATCCAAATGAATCAAAATCCATTGGGATAACAGGAGAAATGTTATCAAAGAGCTGGTTCATTATGTGTCAATTTCTTTTTTCCAGTTACTGTAGAAATAGTAATTAATGTTGAGAATAGTGATATAATATTTAAAATGAGAGTTTCTCCTTTGGAAATAGATTATGAGAGGGATTTAAAGAGAAGTGGGAGTATGCTACTGCATAGCTGTCATTGGGCATGAGTTTGGACAAATGCAAACTATATATCTGGTACTAGAATTAGTTAATGAATTAGGTAGCTACTTAATAGTAAAACTTTCATTTTCACATTCTCTATGCTGTATTATGGAAATAATATGAGATAGAAGTAACTCTAAATGTCTTTATCTCCCTTTCCAGAAATAAATATTCAGACGTTCATCAATGTGCTAATAGAAACTAGAGAGAAAGATTAAGGAGCAACAACAGCTGAACTGGAAACAGATGAAGAGATTTGAGAATTTCCATCACCTGGCTTTCAGGAAAGAGACTGTATTTTACTCTGTGTTTGACTGGCTTGAGAAAGGTAAAGGGGAGGTAGGGTTTAAGTTTTTAACATGTGAAATATAGCTGGGACAGGAACTTGCACATAACGGGTGAACATACTATTTTGTTTAGGCTTTTTGTAAAGTATTTGTTATATCTTAGTATATTACAGAAAAAAAATTTTGTTATTTTTTGAATATAATGTTAAAATTACTCTGTCAGCAAAAAGCTAATAATCCTTTTAATACCCTTCTCAATTCAGAAGAGAAGGGAAGGTTTACTTTTCTGTTACCTACTTAGGAAGCACATGCATTGAAAATACAGGTTTACTTTTCTTAAAATGCAAGGCCAGTTCCATTAATTTGAGGCTTTATAAGTAGTGTATTTTTAGAAATTGATACACTATATTTGTTTAGACAGAGAAAGCAAAGGTATTCTCTGTCTTAATGTGACGTTATATGGGGAACATGTAATCTATACTAGAGGACTGGTATGTAATGGGGCATATTAGTTTCATTTTTGTAGAAGAAGAAATGGTGTGAAATATATGCAGATTTTTTTAATCATGTTGTTCAAAATGAAATAATTATAAATTGTCTTAAAAACTCATTTGGTGGATGGACCTAAAATAAAAATTCTTGATTCTTTCTACTAGCAAAAGCATATTAAGAAATAGAACCCATAAGGCAATCAGATAAAACAACAGAAAAAAATAAATAAACAAAATGTCATACTAACTGAGTAATACTTACCAGTTCATGATGTGTATCAGAGCCACATGCTCATGAGCGCCTGGCTTTAGATATCTGCTTTATGTAATTAAAACCAGCTTACATGGAGCTGAAGAAATGAAGTGAGACAGTTTACTCCTGAGTGTCTGTTTTCCTTTTCACTGCTGCATTGTGGACTATCATTTTTCTTCTCACCCATGCCAGAACTGTTTCTCTGTGCATTAAATACTTGTGCTGAAACAGGGTTAGTCTTCATGAGCTGTCATAAAAAATTTTGGATCTTGTTATGTAAATTTTAATAAAAACTCAAAAAACCAATTTATTATTGAGCTTGTAAACTCAATTCCCTAATATTTTCCTTCTGTCATTATTTTGTTTCTGCATCTGAAGAGATCCACTTTCCTTTTACATTCCTGTTCACTGTGTCCTTCAGTGCTCATACTTACTGAAGTGTTGGAGTGGTTTATAATGTCACACACCTTGTAGTTGTGCCGTATACTTCTCTCCTCTGAATTACATAGTCAACCTTGCTTAAAAGGGAAAATTGTTTTTTCTACCACAGGTGTCTGCCAGAGTTTTGATGTAAAAGTCCGTAGACTTGATCAGTTATTATTTAAAATTTACCAGATTTATATTTAAAGTTATTTACACAAATGTTACTACCATAGTTTTTTCTCACAGAAAGTGTAGTGCAACTAAAATTTCGAAACTATATAAAAAAATGTTGCTAGAAAATGTTACTGCTGCAACTCTGTCAATTCAAGCTAAAACCTTTTCATTTGAGGTTGCTGCAGAGAACTCTTTTTCCCATTTCTCACTCTCTTCTGGATTTTACTGCCATCACTGTATGCCCTAGTGGCATACAGTGGCTGGATGACCTCCACCCAGCTTAGATGCTCTTTCCACCTACATGTTCTGTTCTTTTTCCTTCTGAGCAAGTTATTGTCCCTCCTTTGTTGTTGTGCAGAGTCCTGCATTAGGGAAACAGTTCTTGCATTTTGAAATGGAGTTGGAGTAGTTATCCAATTAAGTAGTTATCAAATTAAGCATTGATTTACTAAAGCTTTCCGGAACTCTAGAGTGCTGAGTACTTCTTAATCCCAAGAAAACCCTTTGCCCTATCTTGCTCCTATGTAGTATGTAATTGGAGCAGAACTCTGTCTAGACTCCAATCCTTCTTCAAGAAACAACTTCACAAAGTAGGTCTTGATAGCCTGCAGAGCAGCACTGGATACCTGGCACCTATCAGCACCAAAGCAGCTACATCACAGGCTTTGGCATGGAGGCAATAGTTTTCAGAATGCAACTGAGCCCTTGGAGCAAATTTCCAATTTCCTTAAAAAGCCAGTGACAAAAATCCAGACAGGAACATGTCTTGGATTGGGGATAAATGGTCTACTTTTAGCCAGTTTCTTGGTCTGTGGTGTACCTGCTTTGACAATTTAGAAGTATGTTTCCCACTGAGACAAGAGCTGTTCCAAACCAGAGCCACCTTGATGATTCTCTGCATCAGTTATGCTCCTTTAGGAAGTGCTGAAGCCAGCTGTTCTGCACCAAGGGCAGTGAAATACAACAGGGCCAACTGAACATGGAGACATCCTTCAGGGGAAACAACATGGGAAGTTTCTCAGATTCCAGCTTTTTAGTTTGTACCTTGGACTTGCTAATACTCCACAAAATGCTTCCCAGAATTACTGGATTTTATGTGGGTGTATGATCCAAAGGGACAGATTCCTTAGTGTGAAAAAAACCAGGGCAGCTCTTTCAAGCTCAGAAGTTTGGGGTTCTTCTGGTTTGTTTCTGGAGAGGACATGCATAGTTATTATCTCAGCCTTTTAGGGAGGGAAGGTTCAAAGAGTAACTCGTGGAAATCTTTTTCCCTTGTTTTCTTCAACATAAGTTAACTTTCATAGCTGTTGGATGAGGTGGCTTCCAAGAGTGGGTGTTATTCCTGATCTCCCTCCTCACCCAAGACCAGTTCCTTGCCTTTTGGGTGATGACACCCAAAGTGCTTTGGGAGCACTCCTTGTCTCAGTGTGCTTATGCTATGGGGGCCATTGGTTTTTCCCCACGTATTTTACACCAAAAGAGTGTTCAGAGTGTTGCTGAGCTGTCACAAAGGGTCTGATTAACACTTGACAAATAGTAGCAGCTTTTCTGCATGACAGATATTTGATAACAGTTGCATAGTTGCCACTTTGCTGCCTTTACCCTGACACCAGACACCCTACTGTGGGTGAGATGCAGAATCACAGAACAGTCTAATTTGGAAAGAGTCCACAAGGATCACCAAGTCAGCTCTTCAGAGAATGGACCATACAGGGATTGAAGGTGTGACCTTGTTGTTATTTGTACCATTCTCTGACCATCTGAGCCAATCTCAGGGTCATCTGGAAGTAACTCTTTTTTTTGGTTGCTTCTTCAGAGTTACTGCAAGAGATGGTGTGTGACAGGAATCAGTCATTGTCTTGCTTGAATTTTTCTACTCTCTCTCATTAGCTGTAAATGGTGAGATGTAAAGTTATGAGAATGTCTGACTGTCACTTCAAGACCACTTCAAATAATTGCTCCAGCACAAAAAGGAAGACTTCCGATGTTAAATGAGACAACTAAGCAAAGGGAGCATATCCAGAGCTCATTTTTGTGGGAACTTATCAAGGGAGATGCAGTATGACCTTCTTCACAGGTGTGAAGAAGTTGTATTTGAAGCCATCCCATGGATATCCTGAAAAAAGGAGGCAGCTAGAAAATGAAATTTAAAAAGGCCACCCAAGTGGAGAGATCCCTGAATCACAGAAGAGAAGAATACAGAAATAAAATCACCATCCTCTTAAAGCTGTACAAAAGTGATATAGACTGAAAGTTGACCTAGTATTTTTACTTAATTTTAAATTCTGTATTAAAAATTAATACATTAAACTCTTATAAAAGTAAGGCACATGCAAAACATGTTGTGCAACTTCTGGCTTTCAACTGATATAAACTAACAAGCATTATTTTAATTTGGCATTTCTAAAGAGTCATTTTTCCCATGCATGATATGTGTAAGAGGTAATGTTCAACATTATACCAGTTAAATCTAGATTCTGTGCTTTCTGTACTATAGTAAGCAGAGATGGTCATATCATACAATAATACAAAATAATAACCAACTCAAGTACAGATTCTGACGGTGATTACCAACATACAAAATTTAAGAATGTGATGTTACATCCATTATAATACATCAGTTATCTTGTTCAGTAGAGAATGATTTGGCAACTCCAGTCTGTGTAATGCCAGTGTGCGATTCCTGGTTATCAGTGTCATACGATGCTGAAGACCATGGAAAGATACTGCTCGTAGGACACCTGAATCCAGCCATCCTGATCAGTATCATACCTTCGGAACACATCGGTCAGCCTCTGTGGAGGAGAGAAAAAAATAATGGACATTTTTGTACTGGGGGAAGGTTCAGACTGCCACATAGTCCCCTTGGTACCTGGGCTTCTACAGCTTTATGAACCCTTTCTGTTCATTCCCCCCTGTAGCCATTTTACAGTCTAATACACAAAGACAGCTCACTGCAATAATGATGCAATACCTAATGCTACCTAGGTAGGTAGGCACTTCTTTATAGACCAGAGAGCTTTTTTTAACTGTCTTTAAAGCAGGGGGAAAACCAATGCAACATCTGAGTCATGTGGAAAGAGAATCCAATGCATACCTTGTGCATATCTCATGTTCTAGGCAAATATGCTTTGTGTGCCATTGCTATCTGAGCTGTCTCTGTATAACCCCAGAGATGCCAGGCAGTATAGACAAAGGACCCAGCATGGTTTCATTAACATCAGCTGAGTGATATACTCCATTTCAAAGCCTTTTAGCAGAGTTCAAGACTGTAACTAATTATAATTATCGTATATCAGATACAATACAAATGAATACAAAGGTGACTGATGAGTATAACAGAGATGCTACTTTTACAGGGAACTGCCTGCCTTCCATGTTCCCTCTCTCTTGCTCTCTGTGTTACTGAAAGGTTGGGAGGTTTCTTCCTGTACTTCTACCATTTTCCCTGCAGGAATAGCTCTGAAGTCTGTATTAAACTAACAGACATTGTAAAACATTGATACTATTTTACACTTTTTTATCCCTCACTCCTTATATCAAATTTACTGGAGATGCAAAGGAATTACTAATGAAGACCAATACATGAAGATGTTTCTAGCACTTGTCATATATTTAGTTCAAATGACCTGTTATAAATAAAAGCAAGTTCTAGATCCACTGTTAAGGTGAGAACCAGAAAAGCTTCAGAAAAGATATTAATTTTAGACATCAAAGTACATCTCCTTTCTTACCTGTAGAACAACACAGCACTGAATAAAATCATCAAAAGCAACTTGTCCTCTTCCTTGTCTGTCAAATTTCCGAATAAGGATATCGTAGAATTGATCAGACAGTCGGTAACCTTGGAAGAAGAGAAATACTTTAAAAGGTTTCAATTACTGCAGTCCTTCTATAAAAAGAACAAGGTTGTTTAGCAGGCATTTGTAACAAAACCAGAGAACAGGAGTTACAATGATTTTTTTTCCTTAAACATCTCTATTAAACTAAAATGCATGCAGTAAAACCCATGCTTTATAATAGTTATATACAGAGTCACAGTAAATATAATTACAGATTAAGGTGACTGTTTGAATGAGGGAATGGTTTAGGGCTGCAGCTCAAGACCTTACAAGTGAAGTGACTAAATGAAAGTTCCTTAGCCATCAGAATGCTCTCACAGCACAGACAGCTGGCCTTGTTTTGAAAAGTGGCAAGTTCTATCAAGTACCCTATAAGTTCAGACTTTTCCTGAAGCATTGGTAATGCTCTCAGAGTGTGTCACAGAGGAGACTGGAACTGGACTTGTCAGGAAATGCGTGGAATGTTTTCCTTTTTCTCTGTTTAAGGAAAGAACTTTAAAAGACATGTGCCTCTGACAAGGACATTGTTAAAAGGTACCTTGTACCTAAAAGGAGAGCTGCCCTTCACCTGCCTCACTTTTAGTCACATTTGTCAGAGCAGTACAGCTCTGACTGTGTAGTACCACTACACAGCTCATTCTATGACATAACCCAGTCATAAAAACTGTAATTACTAATGAATTACCAAAACCTGTTAGTGCTTGCTTTAGTTCATTTTTGTCAATCATTCCAGAATTGTCTCTGTCATACGTTCGAAAGACATTCTGCCAGTCTGTGACGTATTTCCAAACTCCTGTGAATTCATTGAAGTTCACACCCCCTTTGTTTTCTCTGTCAAACATGCCTGAAATAAAAAGTAAGAAACACATATGAAACTCCTCAGCAAGATCTGCCAGGACCTTAAGTAGATAGCAAGAGTGCTCTGTGGAAGGTACTGAAGAGAGAAAATAAACTGCTAAAATGCAAGTGGTAATTTGTAAAGTTCTGCCAAGAAAAAGCAAGCAGTCGTCCACTGAAGGAAAAAACAATAAAGCAAGATAAAAGTACCAGAATAAATCACAGAATGTTTATTTTTCCTAGCTTTTAATTTTCAGTTCTAAAATACTGTGGGCTTGATTGATCATCCAGTGATAAATCAAAATGGACAGAGGGGTGGACTGTTCCTTTCTAAGGACACATTAAAAAAGTCTTACATAATTTCCAAGAGTGCTGGGATGTTCATCTGCATTTGACTTACTGATACTGTTATCTTTATACAGTAAGCATGTCACCCAGCAATGGAACTCAGACTGCTGCTGAACACTTATTTAAAACAAAGCAAATAATGTAGTCCTTGGATTTATGAACTATATGATAGAAAAGATTTGATTTGTGATTAAATCTTCGTCCTTCTACCACCATCACCTTCCACATTACCAGCAATTAGTTTAGACACTAACAGAATTCAAGCATTGTAAAGCTTCTGTTTGGTATTTCTGGAGTAAAACATAAGCTTAAATTCAAGACAGGAAAAACTACTTCCCAAGACAATTCATGTCATATCTTTTTAGAAAATTTAAAGTAACAAATCTTCTCATACATAAATTACATTTATTATCTAATCAATTATGCAGTAACATTTTCTCAGGCTACTCTGACAAGTGCACATGTGTATATGCAAAGGGCATTCCTCTCTTAATCAAAAGGGAAAATAATTTTACTACTGCTGAGCACTCAGAGGGAAAATAAAACCAGTGTAGCAATTGAGAGCATTCTCAATCATCTGAACAGATCACGAAACAGTATCTTAGGACTATGTCACACCACACTCACCAAGAATTGACCTGACTGTTGCTGGATTAAATGGAGTCCATGTGCCTGAAACAGAAAGAATTACTTAGCTGAGAATTAAGAATTCCTCAATGTTTTAAAAGAAGGCAACAAACCAAACAAACAAATCAGTTAAGAGCATTGAATTCAGAGCTATGTGACATGGAGCTGGTGTATTAAAAAAATAAGGCTGCTTGGAAGTAAAGAAGTCTTACCATTCAGAGATGACTTCAAACCAGTGCTTTACAAATACTGCACAGAAACCAGCACTTTTAAGGCTGCAAAAAAACCTAACAAACCTTGGAAGATCAAAGAAGGACTTTTTCATCCCAGGCTGTCAGGAAGTATTGGATAAAAGGCAAGATCTAAACTGAAGTACCTCTCTTCTACTGACAGGAGCAAAAGTATTCTAAATTGTAACTCAATCAAGGCCTCATATCTGTTCCTCAGTAAAAAAACATCTGCTCGTTTCCTTTTTACAGGACTACTCCAGGGCATTTAGCTTCAGACAGAAGTAAAGAGAAAGGGTTCCCAACATTACATAACCATGCATTGCAGTTTAGAGTTGTTTAGTACAAATCCCACCTCCACTGCTAAAACAATTAAGTGTTAGTTTGAGTTAGTATTTTTAGACCAAAAAATGTTGCTGCTTGAAAGGGCCTGAGCAGTAATTATCTGGAGAGGAGATCTGTACTTCTCTGAGTATTCAGAGGCTTGTCATTATGAAATAGTTTTCATTTGGTTGAGAGCATTCCCAAATGCTAGGAAGGATTAAGCTTTAAACAAAGATGAATCCTGTGCCTTATCTAGAGTTTCACCATCGATTCTCCAGAGCCTGTGAAGGAACCAGGAGGATGAAGCAGCACATAATTAACCGGCTGCGGTTGCCTGCACGGACCCAGGGAGTCGGTGAGCCGAGGGCACTGCAGAGGCGCTCCCAGGGATGTGTGTGTCAGCTGACCACAAATCCCAGCAGAAGGGCTGAGCTGGGATCTGGCACCTTGGCTTTGTAGGGTCACGGGCAGTGGTGTAACTCTACAGGGAGAGCCCTGCACTGTAGGCAGGCCCTGTGGCTATTTGCACATCCAAGAGAAACGTAAGCAGAGAAAGAGGAGAGGAAAAATGGCTCTGAAAATGCTGAAGCAGTATTTTAGACAGAGAATATCAGTACCTTAGAGCTGTGTGCCTCTTCAAAAAAATAATGGATTTAATAAGGTGCCAGCATTTAACACTGAACAGAACAAGAGGAAAATGCAAAAACACAGTCTTAAAATTAACTTATTTCATCTTGAAACATTCAAGTGACTCACACAGCCACCACAGTGAAA